TTTTATGTATGTTTCCTATATGTTGTTTAATTAATATGAAACTAGAGCTCGTCACAAGGTATACTCCAAAATATATAATTACAATATTTATCAACGCTGAAAAGATCAAACACGCTCGCTTTCTCGTTTATCACGCAAAGGGCTTTAAGTAATATGGTGAATGAAGAAATGGACAAAATTCGAAAATTTTAGAGACGTCTAAATAATTATTTGAAAAATAAAAATAAAGCGAATTAAACTCGGACGGAAATTTAAATAGGATTAAACGTGCCGTGATTCGCGAGGAAAGTTTTTCTCGCGCGTTCCAAGTGGAAGAAATCCCGCGGGAGAAGACGAGGTACTCGCGAGAGTACTCGCATTATGCTACAAAAGATGGAGAGGTTGGCCGTGGCGTGCCGCGGCGAAATTAGTCGAATTCTCCTTCTCCGTCGAAACATTTGAGGTTTCCGTCGCTTCCGTTGCGCCTTTTGTTTATTCGCGAACGCGAAAGCGCAACGAACTCTTCTCGTACAATACGATTCGATATATATGTATATCATGGACATGGAAACTTGGACACGCGGTGATTTAAGGCTGTTTCAGACAATATCAAATAATTTTGAGGTCAATATCACGTACAGGATTTGTGTTTAGTTTATATACATCAAATATACATCAAATGCGTGATATATCTGTATTTAAATAGCTTATTAAAAAATTATAAATTATCCTTTTTACTTCATATGTCATATCAGTGATAATATGTTAATCATTTTTATGACAAATAGTTCAAGAAAAATTTATGCAAGGGCTCATTTGCCCTCTGCACAAATTATTAAATTATAGATTATTAAATTACTGACATATGATATGCACAAAAGTGTTAACGAGGTTGAATGCGAGGTTGAACCTAGATTCAAACTTGAATGCGAAAATTTTAAATTTTAAAGTCAATTTTCTCAAAAAACAAAGAAAACATTTTTTATCTGTTTTAGAACATAGAATTATTTTTTTCTTTATGTGTATTTATAAAGGGATAATGTATTCAAGAACATATTGATATATCAGATTGGCAATCTCGCAAATCTTTCGCAGTAATATTAACTATTCGCGATAACATTAATGATACCAAGAAATTCGTATCATCTTTTAACAAATCTTTGTATTTGATTCGTCGAAGAATCGAGCATCGACTGGAAGTGAAAATCACATTATTTGGAGTCTTTGCCCTGATACTCGACTAGAATGTTTGCCCAGTAAACAGTAGGTTTCGTTGATTTGCGCTACGTATTCTATCGAATGTTATCACGTGGTACGACCGTGTTGCTTTCAATAAAAGACGAATAGGTTGTAAAGTAGAAGTAAGAAGTGAAAAAGAGCGAAGGCAACGAGAGGACTAAAGGTAGAGGCGAAGGTAATTCCGTTTGTCCCTTTCTATCTCGCGGTCGGCACGTACAACACCGCCGTACGAATTCGATTCTTCAACTTCGTTGTTTTTCCTCATATGAATTTGCTCGAAGCCTCGTCAAGTCCTTTTATTTTGAACCGTGTTATAATGGCACAAATAATGATCAAACGTGAGCGCGCGCACATTTTTGCGATCTACTACTAATCAGATAGATGACTAACTCTGTCAACATTAATTTTTCGATTCTCCCGTTCGTGCTTCGATTTTTGTAAAATGAACACGTGTACTTTTTTTTTTCACATTAACCTGACATCCATCTATGGGATAAAGGGATTGTATTTAACTTGATATTTCCAAGTTGGAGTTTTGATCTCGTCTGAAAGCTTGAAGAAGTAGATATCGTGTTCACACCATCGCGCGATGCTCTTATCTAAATATTTTACACAACCATATACACGGTCGGTGCACGCTAAATCGAACTGCTAGTTGACGAGTAAACCAAACTACTACTACTAGTTCAGGTGACCTCTAGAGACTATACCTACCGACTTGTTTGTCGAGCATTGCCTTTAACGAGCTTTATTAACGATAATCGATTCGCGTACTTGTAGAGCGTAACGATTGATCATACGAGGTCGATGCGCCGTCGTTGAATACTATCGCGAATGCTTTGTCCATAAATCGTTCTCAATGGAAAGTAATAATGGGAGGAGGGAGGGAGGGGGGGGGGGGAAACGGCTCTGTCGTGTCTCCATTATTTAGTCGCGATCTCTCGTATAGTCGTACATTTTCAATACTGCCTTATCTCGTTTTGGTTATCCTGGTTATTCTGAAATCGAAACAACACGCGAAATATCCGATTCTTCTCCTTAAGCTTTTTAAAGCTTAAGTCCTATTTGACGCACGCAACGCTGACGCACGAACATTTTTTTCATTCTTAGTTAACAGTTCGGCGAACAATGTAGATAAAATAATTTTAAAAACGTAAAACCGTTAAAAGTGTCAAATTAAACACATCTTTACCTTTAGAGAATATTTAAAATATTTAAAATATGTACGGTCTCAAAAAGCAGCATAGAGAGACAGAAGTATACATATACGTATGAATATATAAAATATCTCTAGTATCTTTTCTATTCTTAGTGACTATTTATACGACGATAAAAAAGAGAAGTGATGTCAAGAATGATTACACCCCTCTCGTTCATTCGTTGTGGTCTCCTCTTCTTAGATGTATCGCAAGAGTGTACGCAACGAGACCCACCAACGAGCGTGACTCGCCGAGGTAGTCCTTATTAAATCTTCCCCATCTCCATTAGAGCCAGAAATTACGGATAATCCTTTTTATTACGCACGCTACATGGACTCCCATGGAAAGAGAGCGCAGAAAGGCAACCGGTACGTTAAAAAAAAAAAAGTCGGGATGGGTCGCGGCCACGGTTCGACGCGGCATGGTGGTCCGCGCTTCCCATTCCCGACAACAAAGCGCTTTTAAACAATCTCCATTGTGCCCGTAATCCCGAGCCATGCGTGAAATCAACACGTTTTTCCACTTAATTGACAAACACACGCCTCTCCATCCGTGTGTTCCCGGCGAGCGCCCACCAAACATGACTTATATCGATAACATATTTCAAGTATAACGAGTAATATAACAATGCTATTACTTTCAACCAGTGCCATTCGGAGCCAGGCTGAAATGGCCACATTTTTGCGGCAGACCATTTTGCTTTTTGGATTTTAGTCGGCGCGAGATGTATTTTACGTTATATATATAAGAAATTTTGAAATTAAGGAGTGTCATCACAACAAGTTTGCTAAATTCACAGGGAAATTATTTCCAGGGAAATTTTCGTGGATCTATAAGAGTGGAATAGAGCTAAATAACTTGGGCGAATTATCTCTAGGAATACTAATCTTACTCGCGAAGAAATTATAAATCAAATTCATTTTGATCATGTGAAAAGTACAAACCGACAACTTTTCATCAATAACAAAGGAAAGAAATATACAAGGGGTAAGAATAAAAAAAAAAAAACACTCATGCATCATATCATTATTTTACGTATATACAATAATTTATTTCGCTACGAATCGTTTCTACATTTACAAATCGTTTTGCTCGAGCGAGTACGAGTACAGAATATAGATGGATGCGACAATGCACAAATGTAATGAGCAGCCTCTCGTTTTAAGGAATGCAAGAACGTATAATTTAATCGACAGAACATTACATGAGGAATCGCATTTGGTAGTATTCTGGAAACGAACGAAAATCTGTAACGACACAGTTTCAATTTTTACAAGTTCAAAATCGAAATTATTATTAATTGGATACGTTCTATATAAAAGGAATTCTGCACCTTTGTCCAAAATCAAATATATAGAATATTTTTCTTTTAAATTGGATTTTAAAAATATTGGACAGGATTTCATACGTCATAAAAATAATTTACATAAGTCTTAATCTACTTCTCCAGCCGTCGGCTGATTTGCGTAAAATTCAATTATTAATAAATTAATTATATATTTTAACTTACAAATGTATATTACATTTTTACAAAGAAAATGAATAAAGATAAATAGGTGAGAAATTCACATTTTTGTTACTTGCACAGAACTTTATAAATTTTATTATAGAAAATAAACGATATGTTGCTTTTTTATATAAATATTCTCGAGATATAAGAAATCTGTAGATTTTTTTCAATGATTAGTGATAATAATTAGTGATAATCAAAACTTTTTGTTCCTTTTATATAAAATACTCCAATTAAACGGTTATACAGCACGAAATCAACTTTGAAACTCAAATTTATATGAATTTCAAAGTTAATTTTACATTGTTAATTATATATATTAAACTTAATATCAGTACAGCTGTGCTCGCGCCCGCGTCTGCGTCTAACCGTTTAGAGATCGTCTAATTAATTAATTACATAGGCGGAAGCCGCGATGCGACTTTGTTCGAGCGATAATTGTCATCTTTATGCACAACGTTGCACATTACCGCTCATTCGAATGTCATGGTTGACAATAATCGATCGATCATGTTCGTAAGATAGCCGTCCGTAAAATTACGAATAAAACTGTTCGGATAGTTAAGTTCCGAAACTCTTGTGGCGCATGAAACGAAAAACCAATATCAGCAAGCAAAGATGTCCCGACGAGAAGACAACATTTATGAATCAAGGAACTAACGTTTTATCTAATGTTTTCCTGTGTCCGCGTTGCATCGATTCGTAAAAACGAATTGGACAGAGAATCGCGGCAATTAAGACCGATCGATTGCAGTTGAGTCAAAAACACCCGCGATCGTCTCGTCTATATTTTCGTCGCGTTGTCATTGAATAAGATAGTATCCATTTCGAGATGTCAGTAGTACGTAGCGATTGAGCAATTCTGCTAAACTGAAGAAATTTTCGCGAATCTATTTTTCTTGCGAGACGCACTCTCGTGAATATCTTACACCTTCGTTTATCTAATAGAATCATCGATCAAAATTCTTCATATATCTTCAATGATACACTTCGTATATGTAATTTGAATTTATTACTTTGAATATGTATTAAATACGAATGTATACGTATGTACGAAAATTATATTACGATTTAAACGTAATATAAATTTTCGTACATTATAAACGTATAAAAGTAGCATGGATTATTATCTCTCGCTCTTACCAGATAAATGAAGGTGATTTGAATCGCAAACGGCACATCCGAGGGACACGGAGATGTTGAAGCACTCTCGGAAATTTCTTTAAGAAAACATTCTTCGACATCTTCAAGATGCATTACTATGCATAAATTTCGCGTTGCTCGGCTAATCCGTTTGATAACAAGTCGATCAGGACAATGGATAGAGTTCAAGTAGCGGTGCCGTAAGATGGCCTCTGAACACCCGTGGTCGCGATCGACATCGAGTACCCGGCGTAAAGCGGCCTCGGCATGAGGAGCGAGGACTTTTTCGCGATCGGCTCGTCGATCAACCTCGAGGTCTCCTCGTCGCCAGCACCAGTACCAAGACCAACACCGACACCGATACCGCCACTGCCACCGCCACCGCCACCGCCACTGTCGCCACTAGCCTCGTTGTTGTCGTCGGGCGCGATAATGTTCTCGATAGTAAATGGTTTTTTGACCCTCTTCTCGGTGTTCGCCGCGGTCAGAACGACTTGATCCTCGCGATTGGAGGGCAATTGCGTTCGCTCGACCTCCACCGCCAAACTCGAGATTGGCGACAAGTGGCGATAGGAGGACGTTTTGGACGCGAGCGAGTTCGGCGAGGTGGGCGACGTTGGTGGCGACGAGGCGGTAGTCACGGCGGTGCTTCGATAAAGATTCATTCTGGACGACGAGGACGAGGACGAGGACGACGAGAGTGGCTCCTCCTCGACGCCGAGTTTGTCGCGATTGTAGCCCGTGATCTCGTAAGCATTTTCACCCGTGAAGATCGTCGTCTCGCTATCCCTGCCGGTGGTAACGGCGAGCACCGAGCCGCCATTCTCCAGCGCGGCGCGGTCGCTCGACAGACGACGCTCGTCCCGCATGTCCCGCGTCGAATGGATGGCCTGCCTGCTGGCGGTCTGCTGAAGATACGGTAGCTGCGACACCGCGTACGACGGCGAGACCGCCGGAAAGCCGGGGAAGTTCCAAGAAGCGGCGGAGTGCAGCAACGCAGCGGCCTCGTACGTCCTCAAGATCTCGTTACCGCCGTCCGTGGCACCGCCCGCGAGTCTCTGTCTCACTTCGGGTGACAGCAGATAATAGCCGGCGGTGACGGCTTCCGGCGCGGTCGGTCCGGTCGGCAGGCCGGCGGTACCGCCGTCGAATCGGCCGAAGCCGGCCGTGCCGAAATCCGCGCTGTGATTCGAGGCGCTCGCGACCATCATTCGCCTCTCCTGTATCTCCCATCGGAGCAGATCGTCCCGTAGACGATGAAGATTCGCCAGGCTGAGACCGTTGCCGGGACACGTGACGCTCGCGTCGACGATTCCGCCGGTCGACGCGACCGCCGATTCCGAGTGCGAGTGCGGCTGCGGTTGTGGCTGCGGCTGTGGCGGCGGCGGTGGCGGCGGCGGTGGCGGTGGAGGCGGTAACGGCGGCGGCATCGCCGAAGCGAGCGCCTGCAGCTCGGACTTGAGCAGTTCCTTGTCCGGCTTGTGAAGCTTGAAGCGCTTCCGTCGGCGGAGGAGCGAACCGTTCTCGAACATGGACAATGCGGCGGGATGCAAGGCCCAGTAGGCTCCCTTTCCCGGCCGGTGTGGACCGCGCGGTACCTGAAACCCGGTCGTTTGCTTTACAAAGTTGCCACAGTACCGAGTTATGGTGTAAAATATAGTATAATCATTTGATTTAGAAAAAAGAATAACAGAGAACATTAGAAATATTACAAGTATATTTAAGA